TGGTCAGTTGGTGACGGGTTTATACCCCTCAAACCAGGAAAATCTGGGAATATGTCGTGAGTTGAGTTCCAGTTACAGTACGACGTACCTGAATGTGTATCCCAATTGCTAAGTCTTGTTTTTGTGGTGATTCTAACCCAGGTAAAGAACCAGGGTTTATCAAATTCTATCAATCTTAACCCCTCTGGGATCCCAAAAGGCAGTGTTTTTTGTTCATCGTTCGGGGTTGACACGTTTCGTCGGTTCGAGTTGACGAAGTCTGTTAACGCAAGTGAGGCGGAACAACACATTTATATAGGGTTGTTTATTTTTTTCCTGGTGAATTGTCGGGTTGAATGTGTCTTTGGGCCCCAAAGTCACTTGAGCTGCGTTTTCCAGCAAATGCTGTATATGTCCAATCAAAAGGAAACAGGCACAAAGCGACTGTTGACGACTTTTTGCTTGCAGTCAGTACGGGAAAAATATATGCGAGGTTGGAAATTTGACTGTAAAACAATGTCATTCCTATATAGTGATACGGCATATGATTGAAAAACACTGAAAAGATCTTGATGTTTGGCTTCCCAGGCAGTTACAACATCTTAGAACATCTTAGAACTATAAGGTATCTTGATCCATGTTTGGGAATGTTTGGGAACATCAGACGCTTAGCGTTGGCTTTGAACATGGGCCCAGGTCATTTTAGTTTTTCTTGGTAGTCACATACTATGGGGCCAGGAGACGCCACGCGCCACACCCTGCAAGGCGTCACCTGAGGTGCCGCAACGGTGGCTGGTGGTGATGATATGGGGATGGGTCAAAACCTATGTTTTGCCATATTTTGGGGAATTTGCAGCGGAGCTACACTGGTAGCGAAGATTGGGCTCTTGTCCAAGTTGCGGAGACAGAACCAACTCAAGGCCAAAGTGCACCGAGCACTGTTTCACACGACCGCACGAGGTCTGCGCCACACCATTCAAATAGCTCAGTGAGCCAAGCAAAAGGCGCCCCTGAGAGCCATATATTACAACAGCCAATTGCGAGGTGAAATGTGTGAACCGACTGATCTATGAATGTGCTGATCTGATCCTATGTGACATGCCAAACCTGCACGGGGGGCAAAAGAAGTCAGATCAGCATCGCCTCGCTCAGAAAGGCTCACAGGGCCAGGATTAGCTGCAGCACTCAGCGCATGCTTGTTTCACACGACCGCACGAGGTCTGCGCCACACCATTCAAATAGCTCAGTGAGCCAGGCAAAAGGCGCCCCTGAGAGCCATATATTACAACAGCCAATTGCGAGGTGAAATGTGTGAACCGACTGATCTATGAATGTGCTGATCTGATCCTATGTGACATGCCAAACCTGCACGGGGGGCAAAAGAAGTCAGATCAGCATCGCCTCGCTCAGAAAGGCTCACAGGGCCAGGATTAGCTGCAGCACTCAGCGCATGCTTGTTTCACACGACCGCACGAGGTCTGCGCCACACCATTCAAATAGCTCAGTGAGCCAGGCAAAAGGGGCCCCTGAGAGCCATATATTACAACAGCCAATTGCGAGGTGAAATGTGTGAACCGACTGACCTATGAATGTGCTGATCTGATCCTATGTGACATGCCAAACCTGCAGAATTACCATTCATTTTATAACCAGCTATATTAGGGTACCCAGGAACCGGCCCATAACCATATGTGTTAATTGTTGATTACTATTTGTTACTATCACTACCGTGATGGCTTGTGAACATGTTTTTGAATGTATATGGCATATATGGGTAGATGCGCGCGCACGCATACACATACACATACCATTACATACTTACATTCTTCACAGACATGGGCATGACCAAGGCATGGTCCAAGGGCTTGAGTTTGATCCGCCCATCTCTAGGCATGTATAGCTGTATAACCACTGTAAATGATTGTAAATGTATGATTCCGGTGATTCTAGGTAACAACTGAGTTTTCTGAATCCCAGATTTGGTTCATGTGCATTTGTCATGTTTTTGGGCTTCAGCCACTCCTATATAAATCGTGAAACGATGCAGATTCTGACAATTCATAGATAATGATTTGTTTTATTTGAATGATGCAGTCATCAATAATTGATTTTAGAGCCTGGGTGCGAGCGCAGTTCCACAATGTTTCACATCGGCCTCAAATCTTAGGTATGTGTCTCAAATGTGATCAAATTTCCCTGAAATCATCCCTTGCGACATATCCGGAATTTTAGGTCAACAAATTTGATTTCAGTTTTACCTTTCTTTAAATAACAGCGGTACTTTCTGAAATCAGAATCCCCGACGAAGGCGAAGGCGAAAGAGGCGAAAGAAGCGAAAGACCCTCCGCCACCACCTCCGCAGAGTCTGGCGACTGATGCGGAGACCAATCGAAGACACCTGGTGACTGCGTTGATTTTGCGGAAAGTATGCTAGGAAACCGGGAAACCATGGGAAACCCGTAGTGTTTAGAAATGGAAACACAAACTTGAAACCCTTTCTTCAACGTTGTTTGGCCATGTTTGGCCACTGTTTGGCCATAGTTTTTGTATGAGCTGGTTGGTCAATGTTTGCTGCTAGCAAGGGCAACGAGGATTTACTGGACCTTGATTTTTTCGTTTGCCAAAGATGGTGAGTTCACTGGCAACTGAAGAGACCCGGTGCATAGGTAAGAACCATGCAGGTTGTGATATGCATTCGTACAATTGGTGTGGGCCATATAGGATTGGCCAAAATTTTGAACCTAAGGACAAGCAGAAAGTAGCAATCGTTATGGAACAATGTCTTGGGCACCGCAGTTTGACCATTCATGAGGCCATACAAATATGTCATGGGTGCCTTTTTCGTTTTTGTTCCTGGACCGAGGAATCATTGATTTGCTGCTTGGATACGGTTCTCAGATTTTGCTGTGGCGCCCGCAGGCAAAGTTATTGTCTAATTTGCACATGTGAATTTGAATTAACATTCACTAAACCACCACGCCATGAACACGACTTGACTTGTTACTCTTGTTTTTTTCTCGGGATGAAGCAACTCTTTGGCCGTGTTTGTTGCGGACGGGGTACTTGTATTTGCAAGATCACAAACGGTCCTTTAGCTGATCTTTGATTTACTACTTCATCGAGAGAAGCAGATTGAACTGATTGAACCGCTTCTGAAGATGGCCCTGGACGAAGTAATTATTTTTTGAAGGTGATGGTGAGTGCCATTGCTGAAATTCAAGACAGAGACGAGATCTGGTCCCAGATCCGTTGGTTGCTCCGCAAACGTGTTTGAAAAGACAAGCGGTTGATCTCTATGAATCACCAGGTCCAACTGGAAGTGCCTGGAAGGTTTTGTAGTAGCCCTGAACATATATTTGAATATCACACAATGCAAATTCAGTATTCATTTTTGTTCCCCACCTGCCAGGTGAGGGTTGTTAGATTTGATCAGAGCGCTTGCCCGCCGCATCTTCCTCCTCCTCCTCCTCGTCCTCCTCCTCGACACTAGCTGTCCTCCTCCTCCTCGCCCTCCTCCTCGCCTCCTCCTCCAGTTTCTCCTCGACCATGTCTGCATCAACTTCCACCTCCACTTCCGCCTTGCCAACTCTTCGCCAAGCTCTTCGCCAACTTCCGAGCTCAGTGCGCACTGCTGGACCTCAACCTCGGACCTTCCCAGCTCAGTGCGCACTGCTGGACCTCAACCTGGGACCTTCCCAGCTCAGTGCGCACCGCTGGACCTCAACCTGGGACCTTCCCAGCTCAGTGCGCACCGCTGGACCTCAACCTGGGACCTTCCCAGCTCAGTGCGCACCGCTGGACCTCATCCTGGGACCTTCCCAGCTCAGTGCGCACCGCTGGACCTCAACCGGGACCTGCCGCACCGCTGGACCTCAACCTGGGACCTGCCGAGCTCAGTGCGCACCGCTGGACCTCAACCTGGGGCCTTCCGAGCTCAGTGCGCACCGCTGGACCTCAAAAGCCAGATAGAATGCCAGATAGAATGCCAGATAGAATGCGAGAAGATATGCCAGATAAAATGCCAGAAGATATGCCAGATAGAATGCCAGAAGATATGCCAGATAGAATGCCAGAAGGTATGCCAGATAGAATGCCAGATAGAATGCCAGAAGGTATGCCAGAATGTTTGCCAGATAGAACGCCAGAAGATTTGCCAGATAGAATGCAAGATAGAATGTCAGAAGATATGCCAGAAGATATGCCAGATAGAATGCCAGAAGGTATGCCAGATAGAATGTCAGATAGAATGCCAGAAGGTATGCCAGATAAAGTGCCAGAATGTTTGCCAGATAGAACGCCAGAAGATTTGCCAGATAGAATGCCAGAAGGTATGCCAGATAGAATGTCAAATAGAATGCCAGAAGGTATGCCAGATAAAGTGCCAGAATGTTTGCCAGATAGAACGCCAGAAGATTTGCCAGATAGAATGCCAGATAGAATGTCAGAAGATATGCCAGACAGAAGATATGCCAGATAGAATGCCAGAAGATTTGCCAGAACATATTGCAGAAGATATGCCAGGTAGAATGCCAGAAGATATGCCAGGTAGAATGCCAGAAGATATGCCAGATAAAATGCCAGAAGGTATGTGAGATAGAATGCCAGAAGATTTGCCAGTAACAAAACTTAAAAATGTCATGGAGGGGATAACTCGAAGTAAAGTAATTTGTATTTTATGAGCATCATGCTATCCATCAGACTACTGCGAGCTCATTTTGGGCTTTGTGATGCCTTGGCCTTGAAAGATGCCCATGCCCACCTCTTCAGCTATGTTTTTTTTAAACAGTTGGTCGAGAAGTCAAACCAGTTGTTACATCCCTTCTCGTTCGACTCGCTCGAAACGAGCTGGCCATACCTATAAGCCTGCCGGCTGGGTAAAATTTCTTCCGCCAGCCTAGGCTAAAGAAATTCTTGTCGCTTCAATATTTCTGCCGTCTCAGCCAAAAACTTCCGTTTTAATTGTTTGGCGATATTCTTGCCCGGTCAGTTGCATTTCGTGCACTTTTTTGATATTCACACACCCCCGAGAACATGGGCAGATATGTAGCATGTCAAAGTCCAAATATGCATTGAAAACAACCAAAATAATTTACGCCGTTTGGTTGGGAATTCATGCCGTTTCAGTTTGTCACTTTTTTTGGTAGAGGTTTTTAAGCTGGACACATGAGTTGTGCGTTCTTGCGTCGAAAGTCTCCACCACACCTGTGGAATTGAGAGAATCTCATTTTCAAGACATCACAATTTGCGGAACCATCCAAAATCCAAAGACTTACGTCTCATCAAAAAATCTCCGTTTGAGGGTTGGCCCCTCCAAAAGTTAATTTTTCACCAAACATAAATAATTATTGCTGCCTCGGTTGTTCTAGGTATACCAGTGGTCCCTGTTTCGCGTAACTATCGTAAGTACCATAAAATGTTGAGAGCTACATATAATTGCCATAAAATGCTGAGTAATCTGTGGATATGAATATGTGTGGATATGTGTGGCTGTGTGGCTTGGGGCCCGCTTGAACCATCTCGAACCCAGCACTGCCAGCTGAGGTTGAGTCGGCAGTTAATGGAATTGGCCTCCAACACCCAGGCCTTAGAATCCAATACGTTGCTCGGCGTTCTTGCTCCGTGGGGAAAAGATGTGGGTTTCAGACATGCCCAGTTCCGAGAGGCAAGTCCGGACATAGCGGTTGCGCCCTGAGAAACAGTTTTTATATTTGTCAGGGTGGTGGGGCAATCATCAAGCGGAGAATTACACGTGAGCATGATATTTTTTCATTTATTTTAACCAATCAAAGCCGACAGTGAAGGGTAAACAGGATCCTTCAGCACTGGGTTATTCGTGTTTTTTTCAGGGCTTCATTTTGCCACCTCAGGTTGCATCGATAGACGACAAGAAATCAAAGGCCATAAGATATGGTCTCTTCACATATTTCCCTGGTTGTATTTGAAAGTTATGGCCGCGTTAGTTCATTTCCCCACACTTCCGCTTTAAATCCACTTCCGCTTTAAATCCCGATTTGGGTGGTTGAACTAGCTAGTTTTGCAGGTTGACGCCCCATTGTCGTTGGTTCAATCCCGAATTGCTGTGAATTAAAATTTGCTGTAGAATGTAGCTGTCATTTTTGTTGTGGATCAAATACTGCACGAACTCCCCATATTTGTGGGATTTTAAGTGGGTCATTCTTTTGGGGGGGATGAAATCACATTTTGAATATATCATGTGAAATCAAATTAGATCCACTCACCTGACCACGATCTCATTGAAATGATTGTTAGTCATTCTCCCAACATGGCCTTATTTCGGGTGTTGTGCTGATAAGAAGTAATTAACAGGCTGTTTTCGGTCATTCTTCAGGTTTTTTGCTATTTTGGTGCGCTTTGGTTTCGCACCTCCTAGCACGGAGCGTTGTTTTTCCTTTGTACTGTAATGTTGTCATTCAACATGTTGCCACGTCAATGCTTCCGCTGGGTGGGTGGAGTGGGGCGGGGTGGGCTAACACCGTTGACTTTGACTTGCCCACGCACTTGATGCTCGCTGTCATCACCTTATTCTTCCTTCAATCACGCAATTGATCTTACGCTGCCATCATCTTGCAATCCTTGGATCACGCAGTTATACGCAGTTGATGTTACGGTACGCCATTATCTTGCTTCCTCGGATGGGTTTCTGCCAAATTCCGTGACGACAAGCAGAACCCATTGGCATTATTTGCCAAGTATATGCCTTTCTGTGGAGATATTCCTTTACGAATGGAAGCCCTGGCAAAAACCTGATGGATGGTGTCTTAGTCTTTCTTTGCCTTTCTTGATCCAGGACATCATTTGTCAAGGTGGAAAAGTGGAAAATGCCACGACCGTACAGAGGAGGTATGTGCTTGTTATTGAACGATGATTATGATCACGCCTAAATGCGTTTTAGCCCTATGCGTGCGCGTGACTGCAACTTTTTGGCAGGTTGGTGGAATAATAATAATAATGATAATAATAATAATAACAATAATAATAATAACAATAATAATAATATATATGTGTGTGTGTATGTATGTTATATAAATATATAGGCTATATAGATATATGTGTGTATGTGTGTAGACCATGAGTTTTATAATCTACACACATACACACACACACATATATATATATATATATCCGCATGGTCTTGATGGTGAATTCCTCTCACGATACCCCCAGGTTGGCCATGCAAAGTATGGCTACCGCTACGGATGACGGGGGCATCGGCCGCGAGGGGAAGTCGGGGTTGTCCGTCACCCGGCTGGGCGGAAAAGGATTTCCACGGGTTTATGGGAATATTGGAACACCAGAACTGCATTTTCACAAGGCAAATAGCCAAATAATTCTTGAAATAAGACAATTTTGGATTAGGGATTTCCTGGGTTCCTACTGTGGGAGAGGAATTGTTGAAATACACATGTAGGGCAATGTAGGGATTTACCTGGCAAAGTGTGTTATTTGACCAACCCAGGATTGTATTTAGCCACTAAGCATTGGAACGTGCACGATGGAGGTTCAATCAACGAGTTTTTAACGTCAACAAACACTGGGATTATGATTTGACAAAAAGTGAGATGAAACTGGCCTTAAACTACACATGTACATATAAGATCATATAAGCCCTTTTCGTCTATTTTCATCATTTTCCAGGGACCCACGACTTCTATGATCGGACCAGCCAGTGACTTACCATTGTGGAGTTTTGAAACCTGGACTGAGGAAGCTCCTTCACAATTCACAAAGAAGATTCCGTTATAATTGGAAGCTATGGAAATTAATAGCTGGTTGCGAGATATCGCTGTATATACGATTTTCCCTTATAAACCATCCACTTGGGGTTACCACCATTTCAGGAAACCTCCATACACATAGATAACGTGAATGTCCACAGCCCAGGATAGCAGACAGTTGATCAGTTGCTCAGCTGGCAATCGGGGGATTTCAGTGTTTTTTTTGGCACGCAGAGAGGGCATGTCAAAGTGAGAAATGCTCAATTTCTGCAGTGAATATAATGATTCTAGCTGTTGATTTCATGTTCTTGCTCTGCAAGCCAACATGGGGAGAATATAGATTTGGAAGATGAAGGTCCAATGGAACATGACAATTGTGTTACCATTGTTCTAGTTTATGCAGTAAACATGCTGATATGCACAGAATCCGGACATGATGGCGGTTCTTTGTTGCACTGTAGTGTTATGACAAGTTGAGAGTCGCAGGCTGGAGCCCACAAAAACATTTATGTTTTTCAAAAAAAATGGTTATCATCAAAATCATCTCAAAGTCTTCGGCTGCTTGCACAGCTGTTTTTGTGTATTCATGTGGATCATTGAAATTTTCACCAAAAGATCACGGTCGCCCGGATCCTCGGACATGGAGAAGAGCGAGCCTCCAGAGCTGCTGCGGCCCTTTTCGGGAGCTGGAAAAAATAGTCAAATTGCGTCTAATTATATAGGCAAAACTGCGAAACCCAGAAATTGTTGCAAAAAAAACTTGGTGTTCTTTCTTTTTTCGTTTTATGTTCGGTTTGTTTTCGTTCTTGCGTTTTTTTCTTCGATTGTTTTTTTTTTCGTTTTTGTTTTCGATTCTTGTCGTTTTTTTTTTCGTTTTTTGATCAAATTTGACAAAAACAAAAAAATGCAAAAAACTTCGTTTTTCAGTTTTTTTTTTTTCGATTTATGTTTGTTTTTTTCATTTTTCATTTTTTTGGGATTATTTTCGAACCGAAAAACATTTTCAATTTATTTTCTAATCCCGAAAACAATTTCCGATTCATTTTCGAATTATTTTCGAACCTGAAGCACATTTTGATTTTGTTTTCGCCATTACCGGTGCGATTGCCACAGTGATCTTCGCGACCCTGGCAGGATTTGTTGCAACAACCTAAAATAAAGCCATGTTTTGGGAACATTCCGTGACGATGGCAAACTAACCTCATACGATACGGTTTCGACAAAATAGGTGATGATTTTGTGATGTTTGGGATGATGATGAAAATGATAATACACGGAACCAAAAGTAGACGGCTCAATTCAAAAACCAAAATACCCATAAGATGGCACCGCGCGGTGAGGAAGAAAACGGCGCTATTTTGGCTGGAACATAAAACGAGTTGCGCCATCTATGTGGCTTGTGTCAAAGATCCAATTGAGGAAAAAAAATCGCCCAAAAATAGCGTATATTGGATGACCAGCTTACTTCAAAATGAAAAGGTATTTGGCGCAAATGCCACTCCAATAGATGGACATAAGGGTATTGTTAACTAAGTTTACTACATTTCCGATCATTTTTGCTTGTTTATACTGTAGATTACACATGTTTGTATTGTGTATATATATACACATATGTATACATATAATTCCACTAGATTTTTTTTATCCAAAAAATGAGTTGCGCCATCTATGTCCCTTAAATCCCATTCAAACGCCAGAAAAATGTTCGAAGGTTTCAAAAATGAATTGTGTATTAAATCGCATTAAAATCTTTTAAAATTTCATTGCGATACCTTGAAAATGAACCACTGAATGTTTTAAAACTGATTGTGGACAGAATTTATGGATAGAAACCACTCATTGAACAACAAAATCACTATCAAGCACATATGCACAATTTTAAAATTTCAATATGTTACAAAAGCAGCTTTTTCTTATTTACCCACCATAAACGTGACATTTCTCATTTTTCATGATGTTCCCGTTGTGTCTCCCCGTTGTCCCAGGGGCTGATGCCCAAAACCTCAGGCAACAACCTCAGCCTGCTGAACAAAACACATTTAGAAAACAGAAGCCCTTTCCTGACTTGCGCCATCTATGTGGTTTGGAATTGTTTGGAAACAGGCCCGATTTTGGTAGTTTTTTTTTCTGCTTCAGGAAAGGAGATGCGCCATCTATGTGGCATATTTTGGTTAGGTTGGTTTATGGATGTCGGGAGATATGAGGGAGTTGCGCCATCTATGTGGGCATTCCCAGCCTGATTTTGGCGAATGAGTGGGAGTTGCGCCGTCTATGCCCCAAAAAGGCAGCTTGATGTTGAGGAAAAATTATGGGTGCAAAACCAGCGCAGAAGATTGCAAAACATAAATCAGTTTTAGGGACATACATGGCGCAACTGACTTGTTTTGAATGGGAGTTGCGCCATGTATCCCCTGCATTTTGCCTTTGACATAGATGGCGCAACTCAAGAAATTGAGCCACCTACTTTTGGGGGGGAGTAAATTGAAAAAGAAAACGCGTTTGGATTTCCAACGTGTGGCTAGCTGAAATTGTCACAACTGTAGTGTTTGAAAGATTTACTGTCTCACTATAGGAATTATAGGTGATTACAACCCACATGAACCAATCCAAAGGTCAACCAAACTTGGGTAGCAGTTAACCCTTCGCCGTTTGCTTATACTGAAAGCAGGTCTACCGCCTTTTTGACAGCCGAAACACCATTTTCGCTGCTTTGATGTGTATGTTTTGTTGGCAGCTTGCAAAAATTGATTGCTTTGCCATTTTCTGCAAGACATACTGTAGATCATCTTAGATTATTTTAGATAATGTTAGATCCAAAATCTGATGACAACTGATGACAACCATCACTTTTCGCCTCCTTTTTTCAACATTTTCCCGAACCTCACAGAACCCAGGAGAACTTCGCCAGTTACTTACGCAAGTTCAGCTGGACAGTCCAGGCTCAGGCCTGCGGAGCCGATCGGCGACCTAGATGTGTTTGAAAAGTGAAATTCAATGTAGGAAATTGTTGGACATATTTTACATATATATATATAATTATATATACAGTATGTATATATGTATGTCTATTTTTTAAAGATAGATAGATAGATAGACAGACAGATAGATAGATAGATAGATATATTCATCATGCATACAATATTCAAGTATAACTATTTACATACAGACATCGATTACATTTACATTTACAGCACATGAAATTACATTACATACGTACATGCATATATTATATGTTCTATAATATGAAGACGATGTTTTCCCTCTTTAAGACATGCGTCGCAGCGGCGGCTGGGGCTTCCCAGCAGACAGAACTTCCCTGGAGCCCGCCCGAGCCGAGAACTATGTCAGATAAAGTGTTAGCCAAAATTTCAGAAAATATATGGGGGTTGCCATAAATGGGGGGTACCCCAAAATAGTTGGTTTATTTCATGGAAAATCCCAAACAAAAATGGATGATTGAGGGGGCAGCATCTTTTTAGGAAAATTCCGTATTGTCAGATAATTTACCAGTTGCTGGGGATCCCTCAAGGTATATAAAGTAATTTACTCTGTTTGAGCCGTTGCAATTTGAGTATTAGGTGTGTGCGATAGTCAACCTGGCGTTTGACAGCGATATCCTGAACGGTGGTTTTAGTGATTTTATCATATTTTATCAGCTACTGTATATTCCCGAAGCAGTGGCCAGTGGTTGAATATAGGGTTTAGCTCAAGCTGTCCCAATGCTTTACGACATGTTATTTGCATGCACTTTTGCCGGTGTAAGATGGCATCAACATGCAGAAGCAACATTTTGTTTTTGAAGGGGGAAGGGCGACAACGTAAGATTTCTGTGGTTCACGTCCAAGCAGGCTCCAAAGCACCAGGCGATCCTTTGGCTGAAAATTCTGATTGAAGCTTGTTTCATTCGACGTAGAGTTGTAGAAGCGTGCTACTTAAAATGTATACTAGGTTTTCTTCCATCAGATCCAATTGTTTTTGGTGTGGAAACTCCCTGATCCCTGAGTTCGCGCATGTCGTTTTACATCAATACATTGCTTGCCGTTATCCGCAGGCCCCGTCGTTGCCTCCAGCAATCCTTTGGCATGCGGGCGATGCGTTTGCGAGACTTCTCCCTGAAGGCCCCGACGATTCCTTGGTCCAAGTAGGTGCCTATGGAAATGTTGGGTGGTTCTCAAACAGCCAAAATCATTGGTTCCACCAGTAAAAAATAACGAATTTATGCGAATGTTGGATCATGGAACCCTCCCATTTGGATCCATTTGGTATGATTGACTTGGGGTGACTACGTCTAAAAACAGATGGTGATGGAAACCTACCCAATAGGGGGACTGATCGAATCACTGAACCTTAGCCCAGAATTACCTTGTGAGATGAGCAGTAGCCAAGAAGGATCAAAAGGATAAGCGAGTGTGGGAACAGAAATTGCACATGCATCGAGAATTCCCCTTTTTTGAATGGGTATGGCATGAAACCATCAAATCGGTATACTGATTTAATCTTTATATATTGCCGTTTGGATGATGGATGACTGGCCCAATTGACGAATCTCGATGATGATGATGATGATGATGATGGTGGTGATGGTGATGATAATTAAGATGGTGGTGATGATGACGATGGCAATGACGATGGTGATGGTGGTGATGATGATGATGATGATGACGCTGACAATGACGATGGTAATGAGGATGATGGTGAGGATAAGGATGACGATGATGATGATGATGGTGATGGTGATGATGATGATGATTATGATGACTTTGACGATGGGGATGGTGATGGTAATTGTGATGGTGATGATGATGATGGTGATGGTGATGATGATGGTGATGATGACGATGACAATGACAATGACAATGGGGATGGTGATGACGATTGCGACAATGATGGTGATGATGACAATGACAATGGGGATGGTGATGATGATGATGATGATGATGATGATGGCGATTGCGATGGTGATTGTGATGGTGATGGTGGTGATGATGGTGATGATGACTATGATGATGGTGACGGTGACGATGGTGATCATGATGATGATGATGATGATGATGATGATGACGATGGGGAAAGTGATGGTGATGGTGATGATGGTGGTTATGAAGATGATGATGTTGATGATGATGACGATGACAATGACGATAGCAGTGGTGAGGATGATAATGATGATGACGATGGGATGGTGATGGTTTTGGTGATGATGTTGGTGATAGTGATGATGATGAGGATGATGATGGTGAATATTTTGATGATCATGATGATGATGATGACGATGACGATGACGATGGGGATGACGATGGTGATGGTGATGATGATGATGATGACGATGACGATGGTGATTGTGATGGTGGTGGTGGTGGTGATGGTGATGATGACGATGATAATGGTGATGATGATGATGATGACGATGACGATGGTGTTGGCGATGACGATGAGGATGACAATGGGGATTGGGATGATGATGATGATGATGATGATGGTGATCATTGTGATCGTGGTGATCAGGGTTACCATGGTGATTTTGATGATCATGATGGTTTTGATGATTGATGATCATGATGATTATGATGCTGGTGGCGGTGATGATACTAATAGTAGTAACAGTAATGATGACAAGACAGTCAGTGACATTCACGCAAACTTTGTAAGTGGTTTGGGGGTCCTCATTCTTCAAGCTCGGTGGGGTGAGACAAGGACCTTTAAGAATTTGCAATCTGCAGATCCCTGGTATTCCCCAGTAGCATTGACAAACTCTGACTAAATTGAGATCTTGAATTCTTTTAACATGCAAATGCAAAGCAGCTCCGAACAATCGAACAATTCGAACATCCACCATTTCCAGATGTTTTGCCTCCAAATGTTGTCGTTTTCCACAGCCAACATATTAATTACCCTTTGGTAATCAAACGTGGCAATGAACAATCCTTTTTCAATTGGGTGGATCCACACTGCTGTTTCATGGCGAATCATATGTTGTTACTTAAAAAATGAATATATATATATATATACATGTATCCCATTAAATCCCGTAGTAAGCCACCCTTTCATGGCTGGTTGGTACCCATGATATCGACCCAGATTGATTTGATCAGCCATGGTGGCAGGTGTGTTCTACATAGCTCACATCGTGACAGACCGCCAATTGCGCCGATCTCCGCAAAAATTCCTTGGTGGATTGACTCTGAAGCAGGCTTGAACATCAAGGCCTGAATGTTGTTTGGAAATGGGTAGTCTAACTACAGGATGATGTATATATGGTCATGGGTCGTCATACGTATATATATATATATATATAATCGTATTTATACAACACATGTCAATTTTTATTTGTATGCAGCATATATAAATATAGATATGTTTTTTGTCATCATTTTTGTGCACTGCTATATATATATATATTTATATTGTGTCTCAACGTGGATTCAGGTAGTCACAAGAACTATCAGTGGATTTTTCTGCGGAGTTGACCTGGCCTTAGGTGTTGACCTGGGCCCGAAGCTGTCCTCATGATGGGCCCCAGGGTGGAATCTATATGTATACAGCATATAAATATAGTACAATATAGTATAATGCACCAGGTAATTATATGTATACATGTATGGCTATAATTATTTGAAGATGTACGTCTATATATATATATGTGCATATAAGTGTATATATATATACACACATATATTTGTATGTATAAACCTGCTCACATAGGGAACCATCATTGTAGGTCTAGTGCTGTGGATCTAAAACTACCGGGATCCACCCATGGAGATGCGATGATGCGCACGCCAGTGTTTCTTCCATCGCAGGATATGGTATGACATTGTTCGTCAACGCCATTGGAATTACAATTGAAATATAAACTGTAGACACCAATTGACCATGATCATAAATGATCTCAAGAGTCCTAGATTGGATAAAAATGTTGTTTTCATGGATCTTCAAAATGCCAGTGTAGCTTACTGAAGCGCGTGGGTAGAGTCCCATGGGCCAACATGGGCCGCTTGAAGCATCACATCTCCAGAAAAATCTCGGAAATTGGCAGCTCACATAGCCCAAAGAGACTCTGCGCAGCGCTGGTGGAAACGAAAAAACAACATGGGGGTTTCCTAAAATAAGCGTATCCCCAAATCATCCATTTATATAAATAGGATATATCTCTTGGGGCCTTGCTGGTGGGAAGTCCATTACATGTTCTCACATTTGGGGGTTTCTTAAAATGGGTGATCCCAAGGCACCATGGGTTTCAATACTAAAATGGTCTATTTTTGGATGATTTGGGGGTACCCCCATTTTAGGAAACCTCCATTTATCATAGTTGTCCTACTTTGGGACACAACAGGACAAATATGGACACACCATAACTGCTGTCCAAGTAAGGAGGCAGATGACTGTGACGATTCCAGGCTCAAGTAGTAGACCCATCCGCGGAAAAACTTGGTTCTGACTTTGTCACCCCAGGTAGCGGGGAATATCCCTACTGCAGTTTTTTTGTGAGTACATTTGGTGCAGCAGCATCTACCACCGCACCAAGCATCCAAGCATCGCAGCTGGTATACCATTGTACCATTGTTTTTTTTCCGGGGGGTTGAAATGCGCGGTTGACGCATGCTTTGGGCGGCGGTTCCGCAACATGCTCCTCTATGACAACAAGCGATTCTTTTGGTTGCTGTTGAATCGTCGTGGCAGCGTGCCTGGCTGCAGTTTTGGTGCAGTGTTGTTGCCAGGTTTTGTATGAAGCAATGCTACATGTTCTGAAAGGTTCTGAAGGTGTTTGACTAATCGCTTCCCCCTACAATTGGATGCCCCCAAACGAAACCCCGTCAAGTCACGGGGTGCTGGGATGCTGATTTGATGGTTGTATTCATCCCCATCTCAGGTCGGTGAAACGATGGTAAGCCCATATTTGATGGAAAAAAACAATGAAAATCATCATGTTTGATACTGTCAAAGCTAAATTGAGTATTAGTTAAACTATATTATATAAATTGCAATTTTTGATGCTAAAAGCTGTTGATAGTTCAACATGCTACTTTTCATGGTAAAAGCCAGCATTTTTGAAGGTCAAACCACCGGGATGTTCGACCAGCGACCAGGTCTTCTACCGATGCGACTCGCTGGTGGGTGGTCTCTTTGTGGCCGCCCTTGGCGGGGCCATTCAATACATGCATGAGAGCACCTTGTCACCACCAGCAGTGCGCAATTTGGATATGGATGGATTGCGGAGATTTCTGATGAGTTTGGTGATGCCCAGTTTGTTGGTGAAATATAGATCAATCATAGACTTGTTTGTTGGTTGAATGCCTAGTAATGCTGATTAATGCTTGTGGGGTGAGTAGATGATTTTGTATTTCCTACTGACATGTCCTGGAGCGAGGGACTCAAATTGCGGGAAACTCTGGCTAAATTACGGCCAAATTACAGGCTAGAAACTGAAAGCCTGGTTTTTCTGCAAATTGGATGTTTTTTTCCTGAGAATCATCCAAAAAACAAATGTTTTTTTGTTTTGAGTCTACCCCGAAAAAGGATCGAAAAGGGGCCTGAGGACCCCCAAGGTATATAAATAAATATAGTTACACACACATATATATATACATATACACACAGCTATATATATATATATATGTAAATATCAATATATGTATATACATATATATATATATATTAATTTAACTTTATTTATATATATATGTATACATATATTTAAATTTACATTTACACATATATATATATATATTTATTTATTTACATATATATAGATATATATAAATATACATATATATATATATATATATACATACACATATTTATATACACATACTAGATAGACAGGTAGATAGATCGATCGATAGATAGATATTTACACATACAATGATCTGTGGTTCCGCATGTGTATGCACACGCACCTTTTCCAGGCTTCACGTGATATTCTACCTGGGGTAGTCGGCACACAATTGAAGGTTTTTTGCCATCATGTTTCCTAGGTCATCATGTGATGCCACACGCTGCAGGTGAATGGGAAGATGCTCCAAGCATTGGTCACCACTATGGACTCCTGGCGTGCACCTTTTGAATGTCCAACGAGAATGTGTTTTTCATGTTTAGATGTAAGAATTTGAAGCCCCGTGCCATACCCATGTGCTGGGTGTGTTCACACGAATACGGGGGTGGAACCAAATGGAACCCTTCAGAGGGGATTTGGAAGATGGGTCTTGGAAGTCAAATTCCTTCTTTGAGATGCGCCCCTTTCCAGCTCAGATAGGTCACGATTCATTCATGAAACAACCGTTGTTCAGTGACCTTGCTAAACCTATGGAAGATTGTTTTCCTCCTAAATCATAGTGAGATTTCCACTATGACATGTTTGTTTCTTGTTGTTTAATGTAAATGTAGAGTCACTGGTGCTATTTGCTGGCTCATCATGCAGCTCAATCATCACCTGGATTCGCCATGTTTGATTGCTGGAGGGTACAATATGGCCTCCCCCCACCGTTATAAGTGAGTTTTGACCCATCCAACTGGAGCAATCCAAAAAGAAACTGACTCAAATCAAACCTACCTACCCTCAATAAACCAACCTAAAACTATACCTACCATATCCTATGATAATTTGATCTCAGTTTCTCTTACATCATCGCGTTGCTTCACCTTCTCTCAGGACTGCAAGCTCTAGGCGTTGCAGTCACCTGGGCCATTGTCTTTCGCACGAACCTGGCCTGGACAAGGTGCAACATCGACTGGGACGACTTCACGATGTTGTGGGTAAAAATGGGTAAACCAATGCCATGGCATTAATAACCATTAACAGACTAACATTTGAAATAACCAATCATATAATGCGCATATAGTTAATGATTAGTTATCGTTTGAATTCATTATATTAATGGTTTCTATTTTATGTTACTTCATAGTTTGAAACCATTATTATTTGTTAATGGTCATCAATGGTTATCAATGGTTATCAATGTGGTTAACAATGGTTATCAATGTGGTTAAACCAATGTGGATGATAATCAGGATGAGACCAGGATGAAAACCATTAACAATGCCATGTTTACCATCCCCCAGTCATCACCAGTCATCACCATTTTTATAGGTGGTATGTATAGTCCATTCCGTTTTTTTTGCGTTGTTTATGACATTGTTTTACCCCTAATAACCATGGATAACCTGGGGTGATAATCATTGATAACCATTGACAACCATGGGGATGATAACAATTGATAACCTAGTTAATACATGGTAATTTACTCACCTGGGACTGGTTATTTGGGTTATACATAATGGTTCGTCCCACTTAGTACATAGATTGGATAGATCAGTTCACCCCAGTTATAAGTGGGCTAACCCTATAATTACTGTACTTATCCCAGTGGCAAAACCAGGGATGTAACCTACTTAGGATGCGTGGGTAGTTCGCCACCAAGTAACCCATCAAATGCCTGTTGAGTTGAATTCACCCACTATAATACTATAAAGCATTTCACCAGCTCCATTGGCGTGGAAAATCCTGCAAAGGATCCAATATTTTGAAAGGTAAAGACATCTATTTACAGTACATAATATGATACAATATAATATTATTTAATGTAATATAATATAATATAACACAGTATAATCTAACATAATATAATATACTATAATATAGTTTAATATAATACATTAAAATATAATATACTATAACTTTATAATATGATTTAATATAATATAATATAGACTATATGGGCCATATGTTGGTCAAAATTCAAAGGCCGAGGCCGATTTTGGACGCCCAATTGACCAAGTTTTCAGGGCCACCTTGGAGGAGTGGTGCAAATTGTGCGGGTGATCCTGGCCCCCCAGTTTGTTTCATCCAGATGATACCTTCCAAGAATCAAACCTCACAATGCTAAATCACCCCATTGAAGTCCTTTAGGTCGATGATTGTCCCGTTCAAATCGTGAAAACTTCCATTTTTCTTCATTTTTCTCAGGAATTTTGCCAGCTAGCCATGTTTGAGGACACCGTTTCCGGGTCCCCTTTGAAGTCGTCCCGGCGGGCAGGTACTGGGAGGCGGTGACGCAGCTGCATGTGATGTACAGCAAATGGGCCGACGCCTTCTCCCAGTTCTACGGCTTCTCAGAGGTCACGCTGAAAGCGGCCAAGGAAAAGAAGGACGAGGAGAAGGTCAAGCCGCTGGGCTATGCGGATTGGGAAGGTCTCCAGGTCCATGGTGGTGCACTTGGATTGCATGAGAATAGGTTATTTATTTTTTATAATTATCATTGAAGTGGTTATTGACCCTAGAATAAGCATTAATGGAGGTTATGAACCCCAATGGCTGCGAGATACTCTTCAGGGAGTCCATCCTATGCCATCCTATGGGCGGCCTGTGTGTGGCACATCTCAGGCGCATCATCCTGAAACAGAGGACCCGGGGACCCCGGGGACCCCGTGCGCAGGCGTCGATTGTTACCTCCTAATATAGAATATCTCAAGATGTTTGGATAAATTGTAACGATTTAATTGCGGCACCATTGGAATCCTGATTAGGATTGGAGATGATTGGAGTAGCTATCCCAACATGGCCGAACTTTCCAGGTGGGTGAACAATGATTTTTGTTTGGCTGTTTGACACCATTTACATCCATCTCTTTTCTGAAAGGGTCTTCTTAAGCCACTTCTTTGATTGATGGTCGTGAGTCGTGGGCTGTCAGCCCAAGTTCTCATGACAAGTGGCAGGGTGCTGCCAGTTGCCACGGGCGCCACGGGCCAGTTGCCCACCCCAGCTTTTGACATTTACAATGGATTCAAACTTTCATAGCCACGCAGCTTAATATCTTTTATATTAAATACAATTCTACGAATTATATCAACAAAAGGTCTATCATTACCAGCTGGATATTATTACGTAAGATTAATTACATGGATGGATGGATGGAGGGAGGGATGGATGGATGGATGGATGGATTGGTGGATAGATAGATAGATAGATAGATAGAGAGAGATAGATAGATAGATAGATAGCTGGATAGGTAGTTGGGTAGGTAGATCGATAGATACAGTAGGTAGATAGATAGATAGGTAGGTAGGTAGGTAGATAGGTAGATAGATTGATTAGATAGATTAGATTAGGTAGATAGATGGATGGATGGATAGATAGATAGATAGTTAGATAGATTAGATAGATGAGATAGATTAATAGATTAGATAGATTAGATAGATTAGATAGATTAGATAGATTAGATATAATAGATTAGATAGATTAGATAGATTAGATAGATTAGATACATTAGATAGATTAGATAGATTAGATAGATTCGATAGATTCAATAGATTCGATAGTTTCGATAGATTCGATAGATTAGATAGATTAGATAGATTAAATATATAAGATAGGTTAGATAGATTAGATAGATAAGGTAAATAAGATAGATAAAAGAAATAAGATAGATAGATAGATTAGATAGATTAGATAGATTAGATAGATTAGATAGATTGATAGATCAGATAGATTAGGTAGATTGGATAGATTAGATAGATTAGATGGATTAGATAGATTAGATAGATTAGATAGATTAGATAGATTAGGTAGATTAGATAGATTAGATAGATTAGATAAATAAGATAGATTAGATAAAACATATAGATAAGAGGAATATATAAGATAGATTAGATAGATTAGATAGATTAGCTAGATTAGATAGATTAGATAGATTAGATAGATAAGATTAGATTAGATTAGGTTAGATTAGATAGATAGATAGAGAGATAGACAGATAGACGGATAGATAGATAAATAGATAAATAGATAAATGGATAGATAGGTAGATAGGTAGATAGGTAGATAGGTAGGTAGGTAGATAGGTAGATCGTTAGATCGATAGATCGCTAGGTAGAGTAGATAGAGTAGATAGAGTAGATAGAGTAGATAGAGTAGATAGAGTAGATAGAGTAGATAGATAGATAGATAGATAGCTAGGTAGGTAGGTAGGTAGATAGATAGGTAGGTAGGTAGATAGATAGGTAGATAGATAGATAGTTGGATGGATAGATTAGATAGATTAGATAGATTAGATAGATTAGACAGATTAGATAGATATGATATAGATAGATAGATAGATAGATAGATAGGTAGATAGATAGATAGATAGATAGTTGAATGGATAGATTAGATAGATTAGATAGATTAGACAGATTAGACAGATTAGATAGATTAGATAGATAGATAGATAGATAGATAGATAGATTAGATAGATTAGATAGATTAGATAGATTAGATAGATTAGATAGATTAAGATAGATAGATAGATAGATAGAAAGATGAATTAGAGAGATAGATAGATAGATAGATAGATAGAGAGAAAGATAGATAGATAGATAGACAGGCAGATAGATAGATAGATAGATACATAGATAGTCAGATAGATAGATAGATAGGTTAGATAGATCGATAGATAGATAGATAGATTAGATAGATTAGATAGATTAGGTAGATTAGATAGATTATATAGATTAGATAGATTAGATAGATTAGATAGATTAGGTAGATTAGATAGATTAGATAGATTAGATAGATTAGATAAATAAGATAGATAAGAGGAATATATAAGATAGATTAGATAGATTAGATAGATTAGCTTGATTAGATAGATTAGATAGATTAGATAGATTAGATTAGATTAGGTTAGATTAGATAGATAGATAGAGAGATAGATAGACGGATAGATGGATAAATAGATAAATAGATAAATGGATAGATAGGTAGATAGGTAGATAGGTAGATAGGTAGGTAGGTAGATAGGTAGATCGTTAGATCGATAGATCGATAGGTAGAGTAGATAGAGTAGATAGAGTAGATAGAGTAGATAGAGTAGATAGAGTAGATAGATAGATAGATAGATAGAGATAGATAGAGATAGATAGAGATAGATAGATAGATAGATAGATAGATAGATTAGATAGATTAGATATATTAGATAGATAGATAGATAGATAGGTAGATAGATAGATAGATAGGTAAATAGATAGATAGAGAGAAAGATAGATAGATAGATAGACAGGCAGATAGATAGATAGTTAGATAGATAGATAGATAGGTTAGATAGATCGATAGGTTAGATAGATCGATAGATAGATAGATTAGATAGATTAGATAGATAAGAGGAATATATAAGATAGATTAGATAGATTATATAGATTAGATAGATTAGATAGATTAGATAGATTAGGTAGATTAGATAGATTAGATAAATAAGATAGATTAGATAGATTAGATAGATTAGATAGATTAGATAGATTAGCTAGATTAGATAGATTAGATAGATTAGATAGATAAGATTAGATTAGATTAGATTAGGTTAGATTAGATAGATAGATAGGGAGATAGACAGATAGACGGATAGATAGATAAATAGATAAATAGATAAATGGATAGATAGGTAGATAGGTAGATAGGTAGATAGGTAGGTAGGTAGATAGGTAGATCGTTAGATCGATAGATCGATAGGTAGAGTAGATAGAGTAGATAGAGTAGATAGAGTAGATAGAGTAGATAGAGTAGATAGAGTAGATAGATAGATAGATAGATAGGTAGGTAGGTAGATAGATAGATTAGAGGTAGATAGATAGATAGATAGATTAAGATTAGATGAGACAGATTAGATAGATATATAGATGATAGATAGATAGATAGATTAGATAGATTTAGATAGATTAGATAGATAGATAGATAGATAGACAGATAGATAGATAGGACAGGCAGATAGATAGATAGATAGTTAGATAGATAGATAGATAGGTTAGATAGATCGATAGATATATAGATAGATTAGATAGATTAGATAGGTTAGATAGATTAGATAGATTATATAGATTAGATAAAGGTTATAGATTAGATAGATTAGAGATTTATAGATTAGATAGATTAGATAGATTAGATAGATTAGATAGATTAGATAAATAAGATAGATATTAAGATATATAAGATAGATTAGATAGATTATATAGATTATAAAGATTAGATAGATTAGATAGATTAGATAGATTAGGTAGATTAAATAGATTAGCGAGATTAGAGAGATTAGAGAGATTAGATAGATTAGATAGATTGATTAGATAGATTAGATTAGATAGATAGATAGATGGATGGGTGGATGGATAGACAGATAGATAGATTAGATAGATTAGATAGATTCGATAGATTAGATAGATTCGATAGATTAGATAGATTAGATAGATTAGGTAGATTAGATTGATTAGATAGATTAGATAGATTAGATAGTTTAGATAGATTAGATAGATTAGATAGATTAGATAGGTTTGATAGATTAGATAGATTAGCTAGATTAGATAGATTAGATAGATTAGATAGATAAGATAAGATTAGATTAGATTAGGTTAGATTAGATAGATAGATAAATAGATAGAGAGATAGACAGATAGACGGATAGATAGATAAATAGATAAATAGATAAATGGATAGATAGGTAGATAGGTAGATAGGTAGGTAGGTAGATAGGTAGATCGTTAGATCGATAGATCGATAGATAGAGTAGATAGAGTAGATAGAGTAGATAGAGAAGATAGAGTTGATAGAGTAGATAGATACAGTAGATAGATAGAGTAGATAGATACAATAGATATATATATATATATATTATACAGTAGATATTTACAGTAGGTAGATAGATCGATAGATATATAGATACATAGAGATAGATAAGAAAGATAGAAAGATAGATAGATAGATAGATTGATAGATTAGATTGATAGATTGATAGATTGATAGATAGATAGATAGATAGATAGATAGATCGATCGATAGCTAGGTAGATAGATAGATAGATATAGATAATATGTAATTACACGTTTTGATATGTATAAGATACACATCACATAGGAGTACATACATCACATCATCCAGTTTCACTTTCCCTCCCACGTGTGTTGTTTCAACTTCTTTCCACCGCAGTTCGTTGTTTCCCACGTCTTTTTTCGTTGTTCCCCAGGAGACTAAAGGTGAACTTCGCCCTGCTGTCGGCCATGGCGGCGGAACGTTTGTCCAACGGTGACAATCAGCTCATCGAGGAGATGTCGCGCAAGGTGCGCTCACGCAGCGCCATGCGGGTGGAGAAGGAGTTGAAGGCGCTGGGAGCGGTTATGAGAAAGGAACTGTGGGGAGATAGGGAAAATATAGGGATATACTGGCAGAATATAGGGATATAATGGGAGAGAGCATAGCTAGAACCCATTTACACAATATATATATATATGGGATAACCCACTGAATGGGGAACTAGCCAGGGTTACTAACCAGCTACTAAGTGGGAAGATTCCAAAAGTGGCTGGGGCTGGGGCGAGGATGGTGAATCTGCATAGCAGCTAGAAACTCAGTGGGGAATAGCCAATAAATGAGCCAGTCATATGGGGGATAGAACCCAGTTGTATATGTTATATATATATATGTATAATATATACATGTATTATGTAGGTAATTCACAAGCTATATACAAGACCATTTACTGACTGAGAAGCACTCCCAAGTCCCAAGTGGGGATGAGTTGAAGATATAAATGTGTCTGAAAATGATTAGTGTACCCATAAAATGGCAATTGAGTAACCAAGACAAACCCATGGTGTCTGAAAATACCCCCAAATTTGTGGTCTATCACTATCACTGTTTTTTGCTTGCCATTTTGGGGTAGCCATGGGTATCCACCATTTTTGGACAAGCACATAAGGATGGAAAGGTTCAGTTCTAAATGTTTTTTGTCCCATGGGATGCACGTGCTGCACTTGCTTGGCCAAGCCTTAAACACGGATAGGATACGGTATTCCAGTGGTATGTGGGGCCTGCCGTGATCAATGTTCGGTGCGCGTGGTAGTCTGAACAAAGATGGAAACTGTATGAAACTGTGATGGCAGCGAGTTTCAGGCAAATCACCAAACATTGGTGGGTTTGACCCATAGAAACTGTTATATATGTATGTATATAATGTATATAATTTATATAATATGTATATATATATATGTATATAGCCCACAAAGAGGTGATACTACCCGGATGGGGTGGAACCAGGAGTTTTCCTGATGTTTGGCAGATGGCTTAGTGACTTAGTGAAGAGGACCTGCAAATTGTGGCTCAGTTGGGGTCGCTTACTTGCCTTTGACCCAGCCATTTGGATATTCGAGAATAGCAAAGGCACAAACAGAGTCCAGAATCTACCGCAAGAGTTGAACTACATTATGTCATGTGAATATATCCACACATGCACATGTGATAAATAGAAAATTATATATATATATATATATAA